ATATATATACATACATATATATGTATATATGTATATATATATATATCGATCGCACAAATGTACCAGCAAATAAAATTCATTTTGAAACTTACGTCGGAGATGAGTTGTTCTTTGGCATCAGTTTGCGATTTAATTTGGTGACCTGGGTGTTCCTGTGGAGTGGCACATGCTCTACAAAGTGCCGTGCAACATGTCGCACACCACAATGCCAAAGGCATTCCGTGTGTGTGACAATTCTCACTCTGTAACAATATTGTAATAACCATAAGTTTTATATTTTTGTTTCGTCTCTACGGTGTACGCACATCATATTCCCACGCGATAAATAATCAACACAATATGATACAACATGATACAAGATATGATCATTCCATTCGTTCGAAGCTCTATACAGAATTTCAGATATTAAAATTATATATATCTTTACATCTTAAATGACATCATAACTATTGCAGACCTTATAACATAATCCTATTAGAAGCTATCTCTTGGTATGGCTTCAGAACTACACATGCTTTCTTTGCCATTTGCGTATGAGCTGGCAATGCAAATAACCAAAAGTTGGTTGACAGAAAGAAGAAGAAAAGGAATTATGTCCACGTTTGTACGAACCTTTCTTTCCTTATCGTTCGTTTTCCCCGATGTGTTATTCGTCGTGATTTTTAAGTGAGACAAATTATTCGTTAGAGCAAGGAGAGAGGAGTGCGTCGGTAGAGCGTCCGGTCCTTGATCACCCAGGTCCGTCCTCTTCCAACAATGCGCGCAAAACAACTCACGTCCCTTTAATAAATTGTTTTCTATGCAACGCAAGCAAAAGTAATGCTTGCAACTAAGATATTTCGGGCATTGTTCCGCGTCGTTATACTTCTGCTTGCAATAACTGCAAAGCGTCAGTTCTTCTAAATCCGTTAGAACGCTTGGATCCAGCATCTGGAAAAGAATGAAGTGTCATTCATTGTATTCCTTTATGGTTTGCAATGTTTTATACTTTGTAGGCGTGAAACCAGCATGGTGAAACCAGCTTAACAGAATTACATGAAAGAGGATCCATATAATTCAAGGAAGATCGAGTTAGATGAAAATACACAAGAAACGTTTTGTTTCGTTACTTAGGGAAATAACATAAAGGTCGTGTTTAACACGTCTACGTATTCCTAATAACACATCATTCAACATTTGAATTGTTTTCTTTTCATCTTCTTCTCTCTTTTCCACTCTCTCCTTTGTTTTAAGCGATATATCTTATCGTCTCTAGAAAACAGTGGAAAACGTGACTTCAAATTTATTGAGAAAAGAAAAAAGAAATTGTTGAATACTGAAACATATTTCCATTACATTATTCAAGTAATATTAAATATTTTACATATATTTATTTCATTTATTATTATTAGTACATACATACATGCGCTCTCGTTTATAATATATTTCTTACAAGATTTTACTTCTCTCTGATTGTTCAATGTGACTCGATCCGTCGCGTGAATGGACAACGAAAGTACATATATACGTTTTGTTTCTTTCCCTTTTTTTTTCGACAAGGAAACAAAAGAAAGAATCCCCTAGTACAATGTATAAATTAACATCGTAATTCTTTTACTTAGTTTCTTTCCTTTCTGTTATTTTCATTTTTTCCCTTCCCGTGTTTTGTACGCTGTAAAACTGTTCCATGACATGCCACATAAGTTCAATCGTGCTATTTCATCGCATTGTCTTTTAGCACGAACTTGTCCTCAAAAGGTTAGCCTCTTATCTGACACATTGACTACAACAGCAAAGTTATTATGCAACAATTTGGCTGGCACCACTAATATGTAAAAAATGACATTTCATTGGTAGAACGCGCATGCGTGGAAAATCCCGCCAAAACGTAAAGGGGTCGGACAGTCGAAGTTTTGGGATTTACCATTCACCAACGGAGGAAAGTATATTAAAGAGAAAGGTGATTAACAGGGAAATGGAAGGGATGGATGTATATAAAGTGATCACATTTCTTCGCTTCGGCAAAGCGTATTTCAAGCACCAATACGAACAGCCGATAAAACCTTCGGTCGCGTGATATATGGATTCTTGCAGCTTATCGCTGCAAGTTTTTTCCGCGATATTACGCTGTCATTACTTGTGACAAGTCCGCGATTTAAGTTAGAAACGACTCGAATATACGAACTACTGCGTGTTAGGCAAATTCCGCGCGGGAATATTAGTTCGTTCTCTCAGCCGTAGTATCATTTCATGTTGTGTACGTACACGTTCACTTTTTCTTTCTCTATCTCTTTTTCGTTCTCGCTCTCGTTTGTCAATCCTCTACACACTTCTTTCACTCTCTCTTTCTATCTTATCCGCATACATATGCATGCACGTACTCTCTTTTCTCGTGCTCACAATGCACATACATACACAACACACATACGGGCGCGCGCGTGCGCGTGCCACAGAGAAACACTACACATTGAGAGATATATGCTTTTCCTTATCACGCATGCAGGCGCGCGCGCGTACATACGCACATACATACTCTCTTTCTCGCTCTCCTCCCTTTTTTCTCTCTCTCTCGCTCTCTCTCTTTCTCTTGCTCGCTTGCTCTTTCTTTCGTTGGATTGTAGGAGCGTAATGTTCCGTACCGTGTATACGATTCGCGATCGTCTCCTTGCCGCGCGATGGAGGCTGATCGTTGGCACTCGTCACTCCTAGTGTAATACCGTGACGATGATTATTCCGTAACGTTTGGTCGAATATACGATTTAAACTTTAATTTACATCGGGATTGACGTAGTATTGTGCGGTTCCGCACGCAGGAATCGCGAGCACTCCGACGTTTTTTGTCGCAACAGTTGCCGTCGAAAGCTTTTACGAAAGCTTTTTCGTTTTTTTCGCTTTTTTCTTTTTTTTTGTACTTTTTCACGTTACGAATTTACGCTTATCGAACGTCGTGAGTTATTATGGATAACATAACGACTGCCCGCCGGTAACGCGGCGTTACTTCAGTCTTAGCTCGTGCGAACGTTTTGCCACATCATGATGTTTGGTTCACTAAACTAACCACTAGCATGGCGGCGACGACCGACCGACCGACCGACACACACAGCGCGCGCTAGTCGCTTACGCTGTTGCTCTCTCCTCTCCTCGTCCCGTGTCTTATCCCCTCTTGACGATCCTAAACCTTCCTCCTTCTCTTTCTCCCTTTCTCTTTCTTTTTTCTTGTACACTTTTGGGCTCGACTCGCGGCAAATGGTGCCGGCCTATCGTCTGCGGCTTTCACCATTGCGCGCGCATTTGACCAACCACTACGTTAGTACCAGTATTATGGACTTGCCTTCACGGTGCTTTTCGTACCCTAGTTATACCTGTCTTCAATCGACCAATGAAATTCTCTAGATGTTACTTCAATACCGACGTCAGGGACGTCTCAATGTATTTGCTGCAGAACTTTTTTTTTTTCCAAATATTTTCGATAAAATTTACTTGAACCTTTATTCTACGCTTGCGATTTTGTAATAACAAATATTAACAAAATAACATGGATGTAGGGTGATTCTAAGAGGCATAGTTCTAAGAAATGTAATAAAATTGAATTCAATCTTTTTGTATTTTATTTAATTTTCTGTTTCTTTTTTGTTATATCAAGGAAAAAGATTCTTATGGAAATGAAGTGTCAAGGCTAGCAAGACCTTTGCCGGTAGAGTATTTATTGGTAGATATACCTGCATCCACACCACTTACTCCACAGTTCACTTTTTATGTTAGTGATAATATCACACCATTTCTAATTGAAAATAGGTATGTAAAAATGAATGGAATGGCACTGGTTTTCTAAAATAGTTTTAATATCAGTTTTACTTGATTGTAGACTCATCGATGGACAAATTCAAGAATTTAGTTCACTTTGTTCTTACATGCAGCAATTTACTAAAGAACAATTTTTAGAAGCAGTTTCAGATTTTCATTTGTTAATTTTTATTGTAACGATGGATATGTTTCCAATGAAGGTACAATGTACTACTTATTAAATACTGGTCTACCTAAAAATCTATTTCATTGTTGTAAAATATGCTTATTTGTTTTTTTAGGACCATATGTTGCCGTTATTAGAAGCAATTCGTACAAAAGATAGAGAGAAAGCTATAGAATGGTCATGCTCAGAACAATGGGCAACAGTAGAACAACTCATATCCGAAACTACAGCATCTACGTCTCAACCAACGTTTGATACTAGTTCAAGAATTTCGTCTTCTGCAATTGCAGAAGGAAGTGGAATAGCAGTTGGTACAGATCCAATTGTAAATTTACCACCTGATCAAAGACTATGGACTTGTTCATATTGCACTTTTCACAATCCAGCAGATTTTGCAATGTGTGAAATGTGTGGTTTGCCAAGGAATACGTAACAAACTGTTATTATATTGCTTTTGTATGCAATTAAAGGTGCTGTCCTTAAATTGCTATTTTGCTCCCGCAAGTTCTTGCGGATAAAAAAATTGTTTTCAACGCATACTTGGCTTTATTTATGAGTGAATAAAAAAAGGAAAAAAATATCTTTTATTGAAACCTACTTTTCAGCTTTCCTTTTTATAGTAACCCTTGAATATATTTATAATCATGAATAATGTGTAAATCTCACAAAATGTAATAATTATTTTTTTCTATATTGTACTGTAAATCATAATGATTGCAAAAATTATAATGTTTATGTATTAAAAACTTGAAAATTGCATTAAATACTAAAAGAAAATTGATAATTATTATATTAAGTTGCTATGAAATTTATAAAAATAAACAAAAAGAATAAAAAGTGTAGCAAGAACATTAATTGTAATGAACAAATTATGATATTGTTTATTAAATATTACTATATAATTATACAATTATATAAAAGCTTTTTCAGGCATCAAATAACATTTAATAACAATCTAAAAAGAGAATTCTCTAATATACATAAAAATCTTTTATTTTACTGATATAAAATCTTTACAGCTAATTCTAGAAACAACAGAATTGGTGAAAGTAGAAATTTTTAATTCATCTTCCTCAATTTTATATAATTTTTTTATCAAATTAAAGTCTGTAAATTCAGGCAATCTTGAAATTGATACTCTTTCTCCTTTTATAATGTCCATAAATATTTTTAACTTTGAATTTTCATCACATTTTTTATGTATTATCATTACTAATATATTTTTATCATTATCACTGATACCGAATTCTGTTAATGTACGTGATATGTTTTTTGATATAGACAAGTTAAACAATACTTCAGTATATAAAGTTCTTGTAATGAGTTGATTCATCCTTGCACTAATTGCAGCTTTATTAGCAGCTACTATTGCTTGCAAAGGATCCACTAAAAGCGCTGCTTTTATAATACAGCAAGAAAGTTTACCATTCATAACATTTTTGCGTATTTCATTAGAATTTTGTATATCTTTGAAAAGATATAACGTACAGGCCATTTCTGTTTCAGGATCTAATGATACTGTATAATCATCCATCTTTCTCAATGTTTAACTTTCAATACATCAAATGTTACAATTACTCAAATATTAATGTTGCTGTTGCAAAATACGATAAATATTTTTCTATGTTATACACTCAAAGTGGTCGAAATAACTTTTTAACTTACGTTTAAAATTAACTGCATACCCATTTTAACAAAACATTTACTTGTTTTCGTATACTTGTTTGGTTATTCGTGTAGAACGTGCCAAATATGACGATCTTCTATTTATTCCACTAGAGGGCGATGAATTAGTAAAAATTTTTGTCCATTTCTGATTAGGGTACGTAAATTGCATGCATCTAAAGAAAAATTAAATTTGTAAGATTTATTATAATGAGATATATTTACTGGGATAAATTCTACATCTTTTTTTTTTAATACATATACATATCAGTACAATAACGCTGAAAATGAAACGATTGAAGATCGAAGCTGTATCAATCATGAACTTTTGGTTATTATTTAAAAATGAATTAGTAAAATTAACATCAAAATTTTCCATAGTGTTATAAAATCATACCATATTTTATAAAATCTGGAAATTTTAATAAATTATGACTGATGAAAAACAATGCAAAAGCATATGGAATAAATTTTGTAGTTCTGGTAAATAATTTATATCTTTATAATGGTGATTATTACTTTTAATTGTTCCTTAGATGATTTATCGTTTGATTAGTAAGTAGCGGAGTTATTTGGACTTCTGCGGAATTTAAATCAGCATGTCCTCCGAAAAAGAAGAAGAAACAAGCCGACGAAGAACTCAAATCACTGGACAAAGATGTAAAAGATGGCATAGATCCCTCGATTTCAGAAAAATCACCATATCGACGTCCCAGTGATATTTGCCCGGATGTTAAATCTTATTGTTACATTAAAATGCAGGTAATTTTATGAGTTAATATTTGATTCAGAATATTTAAATCATACTTGTAGAACACATAACAATTTAATAATAATTCAACATAATTTTTTAATAATTCAAAATTTTATTATTTTTACGTGATTAAAAACATATTTTACGTGATTAAAAACATATTCCTCTTATTCTTCCCCCACCTCTCTTTCTCTCTCTCTCGTATTCTTTATACTATTTATATTTTTTAAAGTATTATTGTCTCAATTTTTTAAAATACAAAAAATACTTGTTAAAAATTATTCATAGGATCCTTGCAAACCATGTTGTTGCGATGACAAACCAAAGCTCCCACCTTGCCCTCCTAAACGCGGTCCGCAACAAGCACGTGAACCAATGTGTGGTTGCGAACTTTGTCAGAAAAATCCCGGGCATGAGAAATGCTGCATTAAGAACAGAGATTTCCGCGGTATAAATATCAATCGTAAACATTTCGAGAAAGCATAAACATTTTTCTTTATTATATAACATTGATCTTGTGCTATATTTGTAAAATGAAATCATTGAAAAGGAATGTTATTATATTTTATTAAATGTATGTACTTAAGATACGCTTATGTCTTAGAAATTTTACGAATAATCTTATCGATTCTTCTCTTTCCAATACGTAGGTGTAGTTATTTTCTATGTATATATACGTACATAACCACGCCTGGAGGATACTTCATTTGAGATAGTGGCTCAAGACTTGTAATCCAAAATTTGCAGGTAAATTTTTAATATATATACTTTTTTGAACTTTTTGCCTTATCATTTAAAAAATGTTTTTATTAATATGTGTTTTGTTACGCGGGAATGGTCAGTTACAAAAGTTATTAAATAATTTATAAAATGATTAAGCTGCATATTAAACTTCAATATAGTTTCATTTTATCTTACATTGTGTTACACACACATATATATATACATACATATATTTACTGTGAACAAAATTTATTTATAAAATTCTCTTATTCATTATTCATAAAATTTATAAAATTTTTGTATTTAAAATTTTCGATTACATAATATACTTTAAACTTTAAATGAAAAACAATTAAATAAACTCAGTTCGTTGTATGTTTTTGTTGTAATAACAAACACAATATTTTAATATTACATGTTATATCTATTCTTTTTCAAGTTTGGAAAAAATATTTCTTCTATGACTCATACATTGATGTTAGTGACTAATGACTGGTGAACTACTATTCATGGAGCGCGGAACGCTCTGTTCGCGATCATACGTTAATGATCTGAAACGAAATAATATAACTCTTTAACATTTATATTAAACAATGAATTACAGAAGAAACTTCGAATTATAATTGGATTTAATTTTATATTACAGGATTAGATTTTGTAAGATTTGAAGTATGTCAGAATTCTTGGATCATTGACAACTGAATGGATTTTAAATTTATGATTTTCTTATGCTATCTTTTAAAAATTTCTTAAATATCTTTTAATCACTTTGAGAAACCATAAAATAATTATTATATATTAAAATAAATCTTATTGATTTAAAATTAATTGGAACCGAGTGTTTAACGCCTTGGCAGTAATCGTTCAGATAGCAACCAGAATTAACATTTAAATCTAACGTCTGACATCTGACCAATTAGTCAATTAATCAATAAATCAATAAACTGTAAATTTGTTATATATACGTTATAATTCATATTTGGCGCGTCAAGCCAAAGTTCATGCGATAATAATTCACGCTAAGATGGAGCCACAAGGCTGTAACAGCGTGTGATAAACTGCATGTAAATATCAATTGGCTGATCTATTGAATTACGATTTATCGAATTGTGGGCAGTTTTTGATACATTGTTTAATTCGTCTTAAGTGAAGTGAACATATCTGCAGTACTACCTTGAGAAAGCTTGTCAACAGGTGCATTAAATTACGCGGGAAAATTGTATAATACTTTTAATTTGATAAAATAATTTTATAATTTTATAATTTCAACAATATATTTACATCATACCGAGTGAGATATTCATGACACGTTGCATCAAGCAACAAATGTACAATATTAATTCTTGTGATGAAGAATAGAAGAATTAAAGAAATGTTACTCTTTTGCTTATTCTTTTTTTATTTCATTGGTACATTATTCATTGGTTAATTCTATTTTACTGTATTTTTACAATATTTTTCTTGAAATGACTTTATCACAGTACTTATTTAGAGACCGATGATGGTATAGGTGAGTCAAAACTGGTAACAACCGGTAAAAACTTCAATCTTTTTCCGGATATACTATGTGTCGGATTACTTCGCATTATCGAAATCGAATCGAAATGAGTTTCCGTGTCTATGAGGGATAGCGAAAACGTATTCAACGAGATATCTGGCAAGTAAAATTTGTCATGGAAGATATTTTGGATCGCTGAAGCCAAACATCAATGTTATTTTTTACGAAAATGAACAACTTTCGAGATACTCGTGAGAAATTGTCGATTAGAATGAATTCTGTTATATACTTATAATTATGCGTCTGTGACAAAGAGTACATTAGTATGTGTTAGTGGTTGCCTTGAACTTCACACGGAAATATTTGTTTGCGATCATTTGTCATTGTACTTATGAATAAAAAATGATTTGCAAATTTCTTTTCCTGGGCTATTTTTAAAATAAACATGAAAATAATAAATTATTAGAAAATCTTATCTTGATTTCAAACGAAATTTGCCGAATCCTGCGTGAATCCTGAAGTCAGTCGACAAAATCAAACAATTTCTATCTACGACTAGTAATTTGAATAAAATATACAGCGTGTATAAATGGTATACTAATATACTAACAGTACGTTAAAATACATCGCTAATTTATTTAGAAATATAATTTAGCGTAGTCAGAATCGCGTCGATGACGAAATTGAAATATTCGCCGGTTGTACTAACAACGACACTATTGTCCTGTTTGCTTATAATTTGCATGCGGAACATCGGAGTCGAGCACCAATCAGATTTAAAATTTCATATTATTTCATTTGTACAATCACACGGACAATCGAGTGTTTACATTGCGATTGGCTGTACGTTCGTTACCGATCCTTGGTAGGTTCCCTTCTCTCTTCGAGGACTTTCCTGAAGTTGTTTAATCGCGGCTTTATATTCGATCAGTCAGCTCTGCATGCATTCTGCGTTTAACTTTCGAGGAGGATCAACTGGTAAAACGAGCGGATTGTGACCATGTACGGATGTGAGTAAATTTACGTATGCGTTTGACATAATGCAGGTTATCGCACGTTTGGGTTCAGATCTTGTTAAGTACATACAATTTCCCTTCGGTACTTTCAGTTTTTACACGATTGATCGATCCACGTTGAAATCTTTTTCTCGGGATGATTATTTACGTATATTCAATCTCCGTCATTTTCATACGAATTTTAATGATGTTATGGCAAGATGAGATAAATCAGAAACACCTCGAAACGGTTCATTATTATTTTTGATATTTCTAATATTACATAAATATCTAATTGATATTTTGAATAAATTATTATTTTTATATAACGTTCCAAGAAATGAGCATTCTTTGAGTTTTAAATTTTTACAATTCATTTTATTAGCATTTTTCCATATCATATTATAGTATAACAATGAAATTAATTTCGTTATACCCGGTTTTATTTTCATAATTCATAAATATTAAAAAGGATTTTACGAATGTATCTTATTTAACGATCATTCTTTTATATTATTAATAACTGTATTACTTAATAATAATATTTTTTCATACAATTAAATATAAAAAACTAATCAGGTTTATATGTTAGAAATATTCAATCAAGAATTTTGAAAATAATATTAAATCGACAAATGAAATTAAAAGATTAATACGATAATACGATAATAAATGTTCGTTTTACGCATGCCAATTATAATAAATTTTTCCACTTATAATAAAAAAATTAGAAATAATAAATCTTAATATCTTTTTATGAAATTGCATCGTAAGATGTGATAAAAATAACAAGACAAATTAGATTTCATTAGTTTCGAGCCTGCACCTCCTTCTTACTTCGTTATGTAATAATTAAAACAATAAAAAAAACTGTGTAATGTACAGAGTGTCCGGTTTTAATTTATAAATGCAAATTATACAATATATAGTTATATAGTATATAGTATAAGAAATGAATAGTTTCATGATTGTCACAATAGGTTTTTTTGTAGATGAATGCACAGAAGTTCTATGAAGATTACTATTACTTTTTTGGATAGAACAATATAGTTTTTAACTAAACGATATATAGATCATTGTTTTTTTATAAAATTGTGTTAATTATTTATAGCTAAAAAAATCATTAATTTTATTTTACAAGAGACATTTTAAGCTTAATTTTGTAAAATGTGTTTTATGAAATACTAGAAAAGACAAATATTTTTCATATTGTTCTTATCTTTCCTTCTTGTATGTAGATTTTATAAAATCGAAGTTAAAATATATTTCAAAGTGATAATTTTTCGAGATATGGATTATATTTATATATGGGTTAGTTTTTATAGACAATGTCAGCTTCATACGACCTCCACGCGTTTGTTTACAGTAAAAGCTAGTTATATTAAATTATAACTGTGTTAAAATTACTTATCTCTTATCTGAAGCATACATTGTGTAACAGATATTTTAGAAAATAATTTGCATTTATAGATTAAAACTGGATGTGTGCTACATGATAATATATGTACAAAGTCCTCTTAGCAATAATTAATTTAAGTATTTTAACGTTAATTTTAACGTTATGTCTATTGTTTGAAAATTTCCCCAAATCATAAAATCCTCATGACTATCAATAACAAACTATAAAAGTTTGTTATTGTACGGTATGTCATCATAAAACAATAAAATATTAAACATTGAAAAAATACATCAAAAACTAAATATTTTAAATCAATTTTTTTTTTTACGTAAATGTGAAATGTATAGTAAAATAATTGTTAACAAGTATATAAAATAGTTACGAATTAATATGTAAATATATTGGAACATATAATTTTTAAATGAAAATATTTACGACAGAAGTTAAAAAATGCTTATAACTTTTCACAGGATGATTGTAATTGTCAAAAGTAGAAAAACGCACATTATTACAATACATGTTATGAAACAAGCAGCTTGTCAATCGATGCATAGAATATACTGTTGAGAGCTATAGAATATATACGAAAATAACGTTAATGGTCATACAGTAAATATGATTTTAACTATTGTCAAGACAATCATTGTCTGTTTTTCTGGCTTTTCCCAACATACTTATATCCATCAACGTACTGAAAATAACAAAACTATTACTCTTACAAAATGTGTTTAAGCTTTACTGGGTTTTCCCCAATGAGATTCAGGGGAAACATTGACTTTATCTTTGTTCTTCTATATACATATACATATATACATTTGTATTTATTCATGCTAAAAGTTTTTGTTTCATTTAAAGATTATTAAACTTTTTTTTAAACTCGAAACTGCGACAATCGTGTTATCAAAGCTTTCGCAATTAAATTTAGAAATTCTTGTATTTCGATTTTGTATTCGATTTATGGAAATGTAGAAATATAAAATAATATTATATAATATTTAATAATATTTGAATAATAATATTTATATTCAATAATAATGGAAATTTCTTTCTTATTAATAGTATTTTTAGTATTTTTTTTTCTCTTGTATTTAATTTGCATTTTTATGGTTATGGTTTTAGGTTTAGGTTACACATAAATTTAATAGCTCAAAATTATTTAAATTGTTAATAGATAAATATTTTTACTAAATTATTTGCACAGTTATGTTTTTATAAAATTTATTATATTAGAATATTTATAAAGGATTAATATAAAGGATTAAAAAGTATTTTTGTTATTTATTTTTCTATTTAGATAGACAAATTATGCTAAACATTTAATGATAATAACAATTATATAACAAATGCAAATAACAAGTTGTTATTGCTAGGATTGTGTTTTATTATTTGTTATTACTGAAGTTTTTCACAAGATAAGAATTTATATATTCAACTTTATCAATTGTAGAAATTACAAAATTGTGCATTTATTTTTTATTTTATAGTTTGAAGTTAGTATCCTTTTATAAAAGTATTTATGAAATATTAATTATGTAAATCGTAGAAAATATATGCATTATTATTATTATTGTTAAATATATTATCAAATTTTTATTTATTATTATTGCATTACTATTATTATTGTTAAATATATAATCAATTTTTTATTTATAATTTAATATAGATTATCGATCCAAAATTTTGAAGTATTGGTATTTAAAGTTATATAAATATTTATAGAGAAAACATTAAATAATAATGATATAATAAGCTAAGTATGTTAGTACTGTTATAATTAGATAATAATTTAATATTTTAATCTTGTTGAAAATATAAAATAAATTTCATATTGCTTATACATTTGGAAGCATTTCAATATTTTATTCCTCATGACAGAGAGAAGCTAAGCATAGTTTTCAAATTTTATAATTTGTTTCTACTTTGCCAAACTATTGGTTTTTATTAATCATATCACGTAGTGGTTGACCTCCGTTGGTTCGATGAATAGTAAAATAAACCTTGAATTTTATATATGCTTAAACCTTGAAATTACGGGGATTTATATAATAAACATCTATATAATATTCGTGTAACTTATTACATGTAACTTATATTGTTTTTATGTTAATTATATGATAGTTATATACTTTAGTGATATTTTTGAATTTTACCTATTTTGATATATGTAGTTCTCTGCTTAAATGAATCATTACATCAATTGAAAAAATAATACAATCTTATTTAAAGACGAGAAGTATAAAAAATTTCTTTTAATCGCATTCTTCTTCTAAGCGCTCGGTGAATCCGAATGATCCACTGTGAATATTTCGTTTTATATAAAACATATTGTTCCGCAAATATTTGCAATTCATTTTTCAAAATAAATATATCACAAGAAGTGTTTTAACAAATGCTTAATGATAATTTATTAATAAATTTTTTTTAGTAACAAAAAGTTTCTGGTTGGTGGCTCTTGCCTTAGTCACAATGTCAATAGCAGAGACGGATGTTGAACCACTCCATGCTGTTGTAGAGGGTACAAATCAATTTAGTTCTTTGTTTTTCCAGGTAAATCAATTCAAAATTTATTTTAAATGTTGTATATGAAAATTGTTTGTTATCCTGCAAATGATTGAAAATGAATAAATTATAGAAATGAAAATTGTTTTCAGTATGTTGTAGGAGACAATTCTGGCAATCTTATAACATCCCCTCTAAGCGCTGATGTTGTACTTGCTATGGTTGCTTTTGGAGCTGGTGGAAACACAGAAGCTCAGTTTAGAAAAGTACTTTCTTTACCAACACCAAGTAATCTTGCTGCAACTGGTTATCAGGCACTTATTGACAATCTCAATGTAAGCACTTGTCTCTTTATATAAGCTTTGTATTTTTACATATCATTTTATGATACATAATATCTTTTGTATGTTTTTTGTATAGAGCGTTAAAGACAATATTCTAACAATTGCAAATAAGATCTTTATAGCTAAAAGTATTGATATAAAACCAAGTTTTAAAAATTTGACAGAAGTTTACTTCCATTCTGCTTCTGAATCAATAAACTTTGTTGAAAATGTGAAAGCTTCAGAAATTATTAATACATGGGTTGAAAAAAATACAAATAATCTCATTAAAAACCTTGTTGTTCCTGGTTCGTAGATGTTTATTTATCTATTAATATAAAGAGAATATATAAGATCAAATTTCAAATAATATTAAGTAATTTCATATTCATTACAGATATGCTAAATGCTGACACAAGATTAGTACTTATTAACGCAGTATATTTTAAAGGTCAATGGCTACATAAGTTCGATGCTGAGCTTACTATGGACATGCCATTCCATGTTAATAAGAATATAGTAAAAAATGTCCCTACAATGTATAGAGAAGGCTACTATAAATATGGTAAACTTCCAGAATTAAATGCTAAATTTATTGTATTACCATATAAGGTAAGTTTGAAAGAAAAAGTCATTAATGTATAAAGAAAGACTATGTTTCTTACAATTAGAATAAAAGAACAGAAATTTGTTAAAAGAAAAAATTTTTTTAGGGTAATGAATTGAGTATGGTTATAATTCTTCCAAATGAAATTGAGGGTCTACTTGATGTTCAAAAAAAATTACAAAGTGTAAGCTTAACTAATATTCTAAATCAAGGAATTGAAGAAGAAATACGATTACATTTACCAAAATTCAAAGTGGAAAGTAAAATAATACTTAACGATAACTTAATAAAGGTATGACATATAAAGCGTAACTTGCGCAAAAATGAATATTTCTTATATTTTACTTTCTGTTTTGCATAGATGGGTTTGACTGATGCGTTTACTCCTAGTGCTAACTTTTCTGGGATTTCTAATGAAAATTTAGCTATTAGTACTGTTATACAAAAAGCGTTCATCGAAGTGAATGAAGAAGGAACTGAGGCTGCTGCTGCTACTGGTAAGTGAATAAAAATTTTATTTTGGACGGTTTATATTGAAATTAAGAGAAATATTATTTTAAATATGCAGTTAGTAAAATATGGAGCTAAATATCAAAAATTTATTTATTTCACTAATAATATTTATTATCAAAACGCATTAGATAATTTAAAATTATAAACATTATATATAGATACAAGTAGAAAGATTTAAGAGATTAAAGTTATTATTCCAATAAAATTAGCACAGTGTTATAATACTAATATATTATTATATATTATTATATATTGTAACATTATCGATATTAAATATTAATATTTTGTTTCGTTTTAATATTTACTTAATTTTATCTTCTGAGCTTTTATACAGTTTGAAGAAAATGTTTATTAATTGTTTTAATATTGCAGTTAAATTGAAAACTTGTATATATATAATTTTCATTTTCTTCAAGCCATGTAAATATATATGTGTACTTATTTAATCTGTATCTGTTATATCAAAAAATGAACTATAATGTGCTTATATGTTTATACAGTTTAAATTGCTTCCTCATGTTTTGTTTGTTGCATTAAATAGTATGTTTCCTGTTATTTTTAAATGTATTTGCATATATAGTATGTCATATGTTGTTGTTATGCTTAAACATTTAGTGAAAATTAATATGTAAAATATATTACATATAAAAAAAATTAAGTAGATAGTAATTGTATATTGAGCGAATTGATAATACATTAAAAGTATAATTATATTCAAGAGTGCGAGTTTTTAATATTCTTGTTTTTCAAGCAAGAGTAATAGTGAATTTACACTAAGTATTCATCTAATTAGTTTGTTCCTTTAATTAGTTCATCGTTACATTAATCATTTAACTGTTAAATTACTATCATTATTGATTAAATCATACAAATAAGAAAATAGAAAAAGAGAGAGGAAGATATAAAAATGAATTTAACGATAGTATTTTTCTTGTAATTGATAACTGTATACAATTTTTTTCGACAGACTCTGACGTTGCATTCTTCTCGTTTTCTCCCATAGAAGAGTTTCGAATAAATGGACCGTTCTTTTATGCAATTACATCACGGAATGACAACGTAGTTCTCTTCGAAGGCCAAATCACTGACTTTGAGATAACCGCATGATTTTCTTGACTGTGTTATATATATATTTTTTTTTTAACTTAATGAATTATTTTTTTCTATTTTTTTAAAAAATCATGCTATTCATTTCTTCGCTCTTTTTCCTTACCTCGTACTTCAGTGTAATATAACAAAATCTTCTATATGAATTATGAATCTAATGATTTTTCAACAATATCAATTTTGATATAGTAACGTAACATATTGTAGCGATCTAATTCTTTTTCGATTTACTCTGTGCCCGTGGATTGAACGAATAATACACTATTAATTGCTTGTGGCAGGTCTCGGTGTAAGGCCTCTCTCGAGCTTTTGGTCACCGCCGAAGCCCATTGAGTTCCACGTCAATCGACCATTTCTATTGATCGTTACATACAACAATGTAATTTTGTTCTTGGCGAAAACTGTATCGTAATTTCTTTCACTTTGAAAATCAAACAAACGCAATCAATAATCAATTTCATCATATATATTAAATCTCTTAAATGATTTTCCTAGTTTTTTACAGTATTAAATATTGAGTTAAGAATTAATAGCGTCTTATGCATATTGTGCATTAATTTGCCAATCTCTGCTGATTGACTGATTTAAATGAATGAGTGTTTATATGTAAAGAAAATTGATTTCACTTATTTACATTTTATATCATTGTGATTTAATTAAAGGAAATCGTGCAATACTATGATACTACCAAAATGAAAGTCACTTAATAATATAAAGTATAGGAGAAGAAATAAGATTTTTTTATATTATGTGTAGTATGAATTTAATTTATTGTGATCAATATGCTTTTAATTTTATTAAAAATTTTCGTCTTCGTTTTATGTTCATTAATTTATTCAATTGAATCTCTTGTTAAATTTAATTTTTTTTTTAATTGTGACAATTTAATATGCGAAATACATAGAATGGATAAGAATTTTATCTTACATTTAAAAAAATTGGATTAATTTTATTGTACTGCATTGTGTTGATTGTGCTTCTCATCGTATATATTTTGTACATATCACTTTGTTTGCTGTAACATGATATTTACGCTTATGCTTTCTGTTTGTTTTTTATATTTTTCCTTGTTTTTATTTACTTGTTTGATTCATATTTTTAAATGAAAGCATTTCAGTATCTTTTTCAGAAAATTAAAAAGTATGTCAATTACAATATGATATATTATATAACATATGATTCTATTTAACAGAATAAAGTTCAGTCTACTTTCATCTTTTTGAAAGACATTTGCATGTTGTGTATAATGTGTCGTTTGAAATTTGTATCTGTACGTACATACTTAAGAACCAATTCTGAAACTTTTGTATTTCTAAACTTATTAAATAATTAATAATTGAATATGATATATAATTAAATTACCGAATACTTAATTAATCATCTATTATAGATTAAAACTTTATTGATAACGTACACAATTTTATATATATCATTTCTTTTTTTAATTTTAAAGATATATAAATATATGTTTTTGATGATAAAAAAATATTTTTTTCGATTGTGCTTCTGTTATATTTCCCTAATGTTAACAATTTCTTAAAATATGTCCAAAATTTAAGAAAAATTAATTTTGAACATATTTCGTAGTATTTTTATGAATGAATTTCATTTATCAACGTATCGAATTATGTTTGTTACTTATTTCGACAATTTTACATTTGTTTAAATAATGTTCGTATTCATTCGACAAGCCAGACACAAAACTAACGTTTGTATTTGTTAATATGAAATATTTTCTCTTTTTTTAGCAGTTATTATTGGACTCACTTCTGCAGCTAGTTTTCCACGTCAATCTTTAATTTTCAAAATTGATAGACCTTTCTACTTCGCAATTCAGGGCAATAAAGTTAAACCGCCAGTCTTACTCTTCGAAGGATCAATACATGATTTTTGAGTAACAATTACACTAAACGATTACAAAATTAGTAGATTCGTAATTGATCTTGTATGTGTATCCTTTATCTTTAAAATGCAATAAATTTATCACTTGAAAGTCTATTGGATCCTTATTGTTCGTTGTAACTTCATCGCATCTTTTTTATTATCAGACATATGACTTTCATCATTACATCTGATATCATTATTTTTATTATTAAGTTGCAAATTCT